TTTTTACAAAAATTTACTACAAATAAAGTAGAAGACACTAAATAAACTATTATTATTTTTATTGTTTCTTTTTTTTAATCATTTTTATTATTTTTCTTTTTCCCATTTTTCATTGTTCTGTAATTTTTTCCATATTTTCTCGACTTTTTGAACTTATTTTATGAGTTCTATTTACTTGCAGTATGCGCAGCAAATAAAATTTATTGTTTTTCTTAATTTTCTTTTTCTTTTTTTCTTTTTGCATTTATTCAATATGTTTTATATATATATATGGGAAANTGTGTTTCTTTTATAGCCTACTGAGCTACCGGGAGCGATGAAATTTCGCGTACTGATAGTTCGAAGCGCGGGTAAGGTCACTGTCGACATTAGAACATTTTACTACCAACCGTTCTAGCGGGATAACGAAAAACTAAATAGAATTTTTCGATTGGTTAAGTGTTATCCAATGTTTTAAATTTAACTGTAGATGATTCTAGTTTTTCAAATATTTTAAAGATAGCATTAGTGATATTTGAACGTTACTGATATTAGCTTTATTTGATCGAGAAATAAGTTTATTGCACGTATTTTAATATATAGGATATTTTTCCTCGATATCAGATAAATTCAACAAACAACGATTACATCGGAGACACAAATTTTTTTTGAATGAGGTTATCTGAAACTACGTGTTCATTTTGTTTATAGCTATGCTATAGCTTGTTTGTTTATAGCTTTTCAAATTTTAAGCTTTTAAGCTTTGTTTATAGCTTTTAAAAAAAACTTGTTACTATAAAACTAAATAGTTTAAAATCAACGGTAAGTGAAATAGAAAGAAAATAAGTTTGCACCGAAAAGTAAAATTAATAAATGGTACTAATTCATTGAAGAGTTCGCCAATATTAATATAAAGGTATTTACGCCGATGATAACTAATTTTAGTTGTTTTTATTAATTGAAGTAAAATAATAAGCTTTGTACTAAAAAGCAAAAAGAAGACTGCATCGCCAAATTAATATTTTTAAGGTTATCTGAGACCAGGTGTTTGTTTTGTTTATAGAAATTTCTTAAAACATATTTCTATAAAAGTGAATAATTTAAAATCAACGGTAACAAAGTTAAAAAAAAAAAAGAAATTAGTTACGCATTGAGTGGCAAAATGAATGGGGAATTCATTTATGAGAAACGCTGCTTAATTGAATCGATGAGTCCGAAAACCTGTCATGCTCACCTTTTTCACAAAATTGAGACTCTTGCATTTTTAAGATTATCTGTATTAATGGATATAAAAAAATATTATATTTAAGATATAAAAAATTCATGTCCTCCTATAGAATATTTTGTGCTGTAAAATCTCAATTTAGTTAGAAAACAGGCCATATCCTGGAGATGACCTGTTCTCGGAATAGACTGGATGGCTGCTCGTGAAATTCTTCTCATAACCTTACAATTAATTATTCAGTCTGGACTTGTGATTTAGTTGATGTTTTTCATCACACAAGGACTGATTGACTCAATTCTTTAGATGGTTTATATGCAGGAAAATAAAAAGGGATAAAAGTAACTGCGAAGGAAGTGACTACAAATATTTTGATACTTGATTTTCAAAGCCATAACAAAAATGCTTAGTCAAATTATTCATCCCTACGGAAAAGCAAGAAAGGAGAAACAACAGATATCACACATTACAGCAATTTTACTTATTAAAGAACTACAGTTGCCGAAGTTGAACTATTTCATTTCATTGGTGCTTTATGCAAATTAATATTTACTCTGTACAAAAAAAGGACCCTGAAATTGGCACCATAACCAGTCGATGAAGCATTTTGTTGGAATAGTTACCATAAACCGCAAAAAAAAAATTGCAGACTTCAAAAAAGTTTTAATATAAATCATATAAGTTTTTGAAGAAATTTTTATTAAGAAATTTGATAGGAAGAAATTTTTCAATTAAAAATTTTTTCTATGAAAAAATTTGTAAGTGGCTCAGTACAAATAGTCATAATCCAAAAGATTTCTGAATCTACACAAATATTCATGGATATGTATACGTTGGTAATAGGCATTAATAGAAATAACCTAAGTACTAAAAAGCAAAATTTATGGAGAAAAAATACTTTCTCATTTCTTAAGGGACCCTTGAAAAAATTGCTATATTATTATTGATACCATTGCTGAACTAAAGCTGGTAATATGCATTACATTCTTACTTACTCTACTGAGACTTGGACAATGACAGAAAAAGTCACTATTTCTGTGTTTGAAAGAAAGAGTTTAAGAAGCATATTTGGTGGCCTTAAATGTAACAATATCTGGAGAAGAAGAACTAACTCCGAACCTTACATACTATTTAAAGAACCTGACGTAGTCAAATATATTGCAATTTAGAGAATCAAATGGGCGGGACACTTATCAAGAATGGATAATAACCGCGTTACAAAAAAGATCTTCTCTGCCAGTCCATTAGGGACTCGAAAAAGAGGAAGACCTTGACTTAGATGGCTCGATTGCCTCGAAACTGATTTAAACATTCTAAAAGTCACAAATCGGATGTCTCTGGTCAAGTGTAGAAAAGCGTGGAGTTCAACTCTGCGGAAAGCAAGGGCCCATCCTGGGCTGTCAGGCCAATGAAGAAGAAGAAGAAGAATATGCATTCATTGAAATTAAAAAAATTATGTATTAAATAGCAAAGTCAATGGAGAAAAGGGAACAGTAGAATATCGTAAATAACGCTTAATTAATTTCAGTAGTACTCATTAGTGGTGATTGGTGCAGTTTTAATAAAAATTCTACATAGGATAGTTTCAGAAAATATATTTCCTATGGTGGCAAAAGATATTACTTTAATGAACTAGAATTAAATTTCCCATCACTGCTCACAAATATTTTAAGTAGCAAATAAAAAGTCAGATGGAAAAATGGCCAAAGTCTATTTTAAAATGTTGGCTTTATTTTGCTAGCCACTGATAAGCGTACTTCGCACAATATTCAAATGTTGTAGGGTATGTAGTAGGCACCAAAAATACTACATATAATATGCTACACCAAAGATATAGATAAAAAGTATTATTATGATATATTTGATAATTATTATAACTGCACTAATATTGAGCTATTTTAATACTGTGGAAATAAGTGTCTTATGGCCCCTACAAAGGAGGAAGTGGTAAATTTTGACTGTGATGTGTTGACCACGAGATCATGCTTCCCCCCAAGTGATGTTGAATTCAATTAATCTCTATTCTGATGGATTGAACTGCAAAAAACGTGTTTTGCTTAATGTAATAACGCAAAGCCACCGGCGATAGGCAACAAATAATAAATTAAGAAATAATTAGAATTATTTTTGCTTTATTAATTGCATGGTTATATGCCTTTCAGTTTTGTGCATGATTTCGCAGTGTTGTTCATGACTGATTTATGATTATTATTTATGACTATTTATTGATTATTTTCTTTTTTTATTCACCCGCTAGTAATTAAATATTAAAGCCAGAGGCCGCACAAGAAATTCACGGAGGCTGCAGGTTTCCCACCTCTGGTCTATGACACTTAAAGTATCGACCACTTTCTGACTAGGTAGAGAGCTAAAATCTTTTATAGAGCACCAAGCCTGTTTGGAATACAAATTTCAATTTGTGTTCCACAAGCAAATTTCGTTGTCATTATATTGCCAAGTAGAATTCCTTTCTGACTAACAATATTATCTGGAGCTCTGACAATACAATTTTTCTGGCTAATATTTACAAAACACTATTACAATTAAAAAGCGCCGCTACGGTTAAATATTTTGAATCATAAATGCAGTTTGAAAATGTTCTTTTAACACAACGAATCAGCCTTGAAAATTGGCCTGTTAAATAGCGTTTGCGATCCGGCCTTCGTAAGTAGTATAAGCCGGGATTGGTGCGGCGGAAGTGACGTCATAGTCCCTCTCTGCTTCTTCCCTTATCGTGAGGCATGGGTAGTGACGTCATCCCAGGGAGAAAGTGGTCAGCTGCTTATTTCTTTTTTTTTTGAAATCGAAACTTTGTCTGCAGCGTCATGTGGAGCTTATTTCTTTTTTCTTTGAAATCGAAACTTCGTCTGCAGCGTCATGTGGAGCTTATTTCTTTTTTTTCTTAAGCCTAAAATATGTTTGGATGGTTTTATTTTTTTTAAAATATTTTTTAGAGGTGGCAACATGTTATGTTCGATCGAGAATCAATGGCGCCATCTATATGTGAATGTTAGAAAGATAATTTTTAAAATTTAAATTTAAGGAATAAAATAAAATAAATAAAAATAATATTTGAATAATTATGCATCAGAACTGATATTGATTTTATTTGTGATATTAATTTTAAATTAGTGAATGTCAATTAAAAAAAAAAGGTTTTCATATTATTTAAATTAAATCTTTAGTAATATGATTTAAAATATAAGTTAAAATAAATTTATATTTAAATAATAAATTCTCATTTCTTTTAAGGTAATCAAGAAATATATAATTTTATATTATTTACATGTATTATTATTTTATTATATGTATATAATTTTTATATGTAGTCGGATGGATTAAATTATTTATAATTAAATGAATTAGAAATAAATTAACCTTATTAATGTAATAAAAATATTTCAATATTGAATTCATCTTTAGTAATTTATTTTTAAAAAATAAAAATATAATATTTTTAAAAAAAATAAAAATATATTTAAAAATTAAACTATTATTTTTACATTATTATTTGATATGCTTAATACTTGGAATTACATTAATAAATTATTTTAAATTGAATTATTGAATAATTAGAATGAATTGATACTTTAGTCCCGAGTGGGGATCGAACCAACGCCAGTTAAAAGCTTCCGCAGGGTAGTTGTTTGCTGCGCTTTAGACAACTACCCTGCGGGCGCTTGGTATGATATGCGTAAATAAGTTTAAACTTTGTATTTAATTCATGACAGGTACGATATCGATAACACCCGCTAGTTTCATCGATATACTTTCACTTGAACATTATCAGTTATCCGATTTTGTATTTCTGCTCGCCTTCTTGTTATCATTACTTTTCTCGTCTTGGCAACGATAAATCTGTTAAGCACGTGTATCGCTAAATCGAACCATATGTTAGGGGGTGTACGGGATGTGCGCTGACGTCAAAGCGGATACTGCAAGTCCGGCTTGGACAAGATTTAGCAAGGGTCGACTTTATCTGTGACGTATGCGGATTAAATTATCTTCACTCATGTGATAGTACTTCAGTTGCTTGTATGCATTTCGTTGGTTAGTCTCTTGTAGTTGTTAAGTTTTAAATTATTAAGTTTATAGTTAAAAGTTTTTTTTCTTCTCAGTTTCTTGACTTTTAGTGAATTATTAGTTTTCTTGATTTTCGGTATGGATAGAAGTGAATCACTAAAGCGAAAGCATGATGATATTCAAGTAAGTACTCATTTTTTTAAATGCTTTAAAAATTTTTGTAATGTTGCTTTATTATATTGATTTTACATAGTATATTGATAACGTTAATTAGTATTATTTATAAAACTGCTGAGAGACGCTAATAGACATCTTTATTTAACCAAAAAATGATTTTGTTAAATTTAATTAGCCATTTCTATTTTGTTAATGATAGAAAATTAATTAGTTATCTTAGTCGAAATTGTGAAAAGTTAATTTTCTCAGTCATTACAATATTTTTTAATAAAGCTTGTTAAATTAATTTTATTTTATTTTAATTACTAGTTAAATAAACTTCTGTAACATAAGCGATTTAATTATTATTATTAGTTACTTTGTTATGTTTCTTGATGATTCAAAAATATTTTTATTTTAATTTAGGTTGTTCCTAAGAGGAAAGGCTTATTTCAAGAAGGGTCGTATCCAGAGCATTACTATCCGATAGGAGATAATTTCTTCGTACTGGCCAGCGTTTATGCTAAGAAGGTTGGCATCCATATCAGAAAGTTCAACAGATACGACGATGCCTATTACCCATCAACAGTTGGGCTTACGATTACACCAGAGCAGTTCGTTGTTGTATTTAAGAATGGTCCTCCTACGTCGATTTTTGATGTTGTGGATATAAATCTTGCCTTGGAAGCTGTGAACATTCACGACAAGAGAGAGTTCTATCTACTGATGTCTGATGAAGGGAAATATACCCTGACCCAGGAATACAAGTGCAGGAGTGGAAGAGTCTATAAGTTTCCTCTAGATGTTACCTTCTCCCAGTGGAACGCAATTAAAAAGGCCCAGGACGACGTCATTTCGAGCTACATAGCCATTAAGTTTAAGAACAGGAGCGTCTTGGAAACTTTCCGCACTGTGTCCAAGAGGAACCTGCCAGTTGAAAAACCTGTGAACGACCGCTACGAAGAGGCCGAGAAGGATATGAATGTGTGCCTCACCCTCGTCTTATATAAAAACATAGGACAAAAAAAAGACATTCGCCCACCCGTAAGGATTTGCGATGAAGAAGTAGAAATCGGTGACTTAGTGCCTGTAAGAGACTTCAATGAGTCATGTATGCATCTGAACGTTACAGGACTCGTTAGAGACTTTGAAAAGGAATTGTGTGAAAACATGTTGTTCCCTGAACGGGAGCCGTTAATAAATTATTTGAGTGAACAGTACTTAAAAAATATTAAATTGGATGTATGCATCGAAGCTGCAAGAAAGGATTTCTGTTCGTATGAATTTTAAATTTTTTTTACTATTACCTAAATAAATGTAATTATGTTATATCAAATTTGTTATTTTTACTTTGCACTTAAATGTTTTTTTTTTACACATTCTCTTTCAGCAGGCATTGAAATTTTCTATTTCAGACTGGTGCTTTTTTTCAGCAGGCAATGAAAACTTATTATTTCAGAGGTTAATGAAACTTTAGTTCTTTAAAAATTGTTTTAAGTTTGCTAATGATTTAAATTTCAAAGTTCGCCACAGGGAAAATTTTATAATAATTTTGTTAGCTACCAATATAATTATATTTAAATTTTGAACGATAGTTTATTTTTTTTTACTCTTAGCATTTGTAGAAAAATTTCAGATTATTTTTTTAAAAAAAAATTTCAATCACTTTTGTATAAATGGATAATTTATTATCATCAGTTTATAGAAAGCCTGAACATCCAGGAAGTTTCGGTGGAGTCAATGCTATTTATGATGCAGTGAAAGGTAAAGTGAAAAAGAGTGAAATTAAAAAATGGTTAGAGAGTAAGGATTCTTATACTTTACATAAACCAGTAAAAAAGATATTTAAACGGAATCGAGTGATTGTTGGAGGTATAGATGAACAATTTCAAATTGATTTAGTTGACATGCAATCTTTAGCAAAGTTTAATAGTGGATACAAATATTTGTTAACTTGTATTGATTGTTTCTCAAAGTATGCTTGGGCTATTCCTATTAAAGACAAATCAGCTAAAAATGTATTGTCTGCATTAAAATCTATTTTTAAGGAAAGAAAGCCTGAGAAACTGCAATCAGATAAAGGAACAGAATTCACAAATAAACTTATACAGCGATACCTTAAAAATTTAGGAGTTCATTTTTTTACAACGAATAATGAAACGAAATCAAGTATTGTTGAGAGATTTAACCGCACTTTAAAAATGAAGATGTGGAAATACTTTACAGAATATAATACGAAAAAATATATTGACGTCATTTCTAAATTAATCGATAGTTATAATCATACCAAACACAGAAGTATAAAAATGGAACCAGCCTCAGTGAATATCGATAATCAAAAAGAAGTATGGAATAATTTATATAGTGATAAGGTGAATAATGATAAGTCAAAACAAGCTGTTTTTCAAATAGGTGACACTGTTCGCATTAGTAAATCAAAACTTACATTTGAGAAAGGATATGAAAATAATTGGACTCGGGAATTATTTGTGATAGATAAAATAGTTCCTCGAAATCCTATAGTATATAAAATAAAAGATTTAATGAATGAAGCAATTGAAGGTACTTTTTATGCTGAAGAATTACAAAAAGTTGTCAATTCTGGTTATTTTCCGGTTGAAAAAGTAATTAAAAAAAGGAAAATCAATGGAAGGATGCAATATTTTGTTAAATTTTTAGGTTACCCTTATAAGTTTAATGATTGGGTGACTGATATTCAAAAAGTATAAATAGGATGGAAATGTTTAACCAGTCTCATTAAGAATCATGTCTTTCTACGTGACGTTGCCTTCTGATAGCTCGTTACAATATTTTTCTGAAAACAAAGTCTCGCATTATACAGTTCAGCTGCCTACCCCCTTGGACCTAAAAGGAGAGTACGAGGTGGGTTTATCTGAAATTATTTATCCTCATTCATGGCTGAATATTAATGAAACTAATAATTATTTTCGATACGATATTGAAAATGGCAATATTGTAACAACTGTAAATCAAAAAATTGATGTGGGAAGTTATGAATCAATGTTTGAGATTGTAGGAGCTATACAACAAGCTTTACCCAAAAACCCTAGTTGGTTTACATTAAGTTATAATAAAGCTACGAAACTAGTTAAAATTAATGCAGTGCAGGGAACTTGTCTTTATCTTGAAAATTTGGGGGAGATTTTAGGATTTCCAAATAACACGACTATTCGGGGTACCATGAAAAGTCAATTTGCCGCTGACGCATGGACTCGATTTTCGTACTTTTATATTTACAGTGACATTGTGTCTCAGCAAATAGTAGGCCATATTCACGCGCCATTGTTGAGGATTGTCAAAGTAGAAGGAAAAGATGGAGATGTTGTAAGCAAGTATTATGACAGACCACAATATGTTCCAGTTATTCGAAGTACAATTCAAACCATAAGTTTTGAATTGCGATTAAATTCTGGCAAATTTGTTCCATTTTCACGTGGAAAAGTTATTATTGTACTGCATTTTCGAATGCGACAAATACTATAAATACAGAGTGTTTTTAAAAAATGTTTCATTACAAGATTAGCTATCAAGATGAAAGTACCTTATGTGTGCTGCTCCAAGAAATTGGAAGACCATTATGCCTCTCAAATGGGAAATGGTTTACCCTATTATCGTGGTATATCCTATCAAAAAGGTTATGGTTTGGGCGGCATATTTAGAAGAATATTTAGAGCTGCTTTACCATATATTGTGCGTGGATCAAAAACTGTTGGAAAAGAAGCATTAGTCACCGGATCACGTGTTATGACGGACGTATTAGCAGGCCAAGATTTGAAAACATCCGCCAAGAATAGAGCAAAAGAGTCGGGTAAAAATCTAGCCAATAAAGCACTTGGTAAAATACAGTCAATGATGGGTAGCGGGGGATATAAAAGAAAGCGCAAGACTAAGAAAAAAATCATTTCATCAAAGAGACAGAAAGGAAGAGGACGTGATATTTTTGACTCATCATCATGACATTTCTCTTGAAAGGTTCCCCAGAATGTGTGAAGTCGGAGTTGGAATTGTTTCAGATGCCCGGCACGCAAACAGTTATACAAAGTGGACAGTGGGTTGAATTTCACCCGCTATCGAATGTGTTTGACGGTGGTCCCGTTGAATTTCACATATCTGGATCAGGAGACGAATTTATTGATTTAGGCCAAACTCAACTTCACGTTCAAGCAAAAATTTTAAAAAACGATAATACTAATTTAACAGCAGATGATAATATTGGTCCAGTCAATTTATTTTTACACTCTTTGTTTTCTCAAGTGGATGTATCTTTAAACGACCGTATCATATCAAATTCCAGTAACACTTATCCATATAGATCCTATTTAGAAACTCTTTTAAATCACGGCTATGATAGCAAAACCTCCCAACTTACTGCAGAACTTTATTATAAGGATTCCGATGATGGACTTAAAAAAAGATCAGAATATTTTAAGTTCAGTTCAACCGTGGATATGATTGGTTGCATTCACAGTGATTTGTTTCATCAAAATAGATTACTATTAAACTTGGTAGATGTAAAAATTAAACTGATTCGCAGTAAACCCGAATTTTGTTTAATAGGAAAGTCTGGGTATAAAGTTGTTTTAGATAGAATTTCATTGTTAGTAAGAAAAGTACGAGTAAGCCCTGGAGTCATTCTCGGCCATGCAAAAGCTTTAGAAAAAGATACTGCGAAATATCCTATCAATCGAGTTCTATGTAAAGTGTTTTCAATTCCTAAAGGAAACATGTCGCTAGTACAAGACAATGTGTTTGTGGGACAAATTCCAAAGCGACTTATAATAGGGTGTGTTGAAAATGATGCATTCCATGGTACATTTGAAAAGAATCCTTTTGATTTCAAACATTTTAATTTAAATTTCATTGCTGTGTATGTCGACGGCCAACCTGTTCCCCACAATCCACTCGAACTCAACTTTTCCCAAAAACAATATATCAGAGCTTATCAAAATTTATTTATGAGCACTGAACATATGAGAAGTGACAAGGGTAATTTCATTTCTCGAGAAGAATTTTGTGATGGTTACACGCTATATGCTTTTGACTTGTCCCCTGATTTATGTGACGGAGATCATTTCAATTTAATAAAGCATAGTAATTTACGAATTGAAATGAAATTTGAGAAACCGTTAGATGGAACAGTCTGTGTCATCGTATTTGCAGAATTTGAGAACGTCATAGAAATTAACAAATCAAGAGACATTATATACGATTTTGGAAGTTAAAGAAATGGATGGAGCAAAGATTTATGAAATTTTATCACAAGATTCTACAACAGCTTCCAAGTTTAAAGGCGTTTATTCGAGAGACATGATACCTTTATTGCAAGAAAATCAAGCTATTGTCGTCAACACTGATGACTCAACTCGACCTGGATCTCATTGGTTAGCTCTATATATGACTGAAGGGAGAACATTGGAATTTTTCGACTCTTATGGACATTCTCCTGACTTCTATGGACTTGATGTGTATAAATTATTTAACATTTCTTATGCATGTTG